AAACCCTGGCTGGCACGGGCGCATCCTCCAGCCACAGCAGAGGGGAAACAACCAGTGGATAGCACTGGCAGCAGGAGGGGTGGTCCTTGGTCCAACGTTGAACCCAGTATCTCTCCCTCCTGGGCTTTGGAGGGATTCAAGTTTGCCCGCTGCTTGCAGGGCTCTGGCAGCTCCACTGCGTTGGACTTGCCTCCTCCAAGAGCTTGTGAAGAACCTGGTTGTGAGCTGATGCTGTCAGCTTGAAGAAGTATAGACTGGCTTCAAAACTACAATCATCTTCCCCCGAGCTTCCAGTAAAATTCCTTTGCTGGGAGTGGAAAGGGCTTAGCATGCAACTGAAGCACCTCGAGCATGCAGGACAGGCACCTGTGTGGACCACGGGGCAAATGAACCTGGAGGCTTTCTGTCCCCTCTTGTCTCCTTCCACCCACCCTGGGTATAGCAGACCCTGTCACCTCCCCTCCCTGCTGCTGGCTGACTGTTCTTCTCTTCTGCAGAATCATCAAAACTGTGCTGAAGACCTTCAAGTATATCTTTGGCCTGAGGTTTGAGGTGAAGGGACTGGAGAACTTTGAGGTGGAGGGCCCTGCTATCATTGTGTCCAACCACCAGAGCATCCTCGATATGATGGGTGAGGAGCTGGCGGGAGGGAGGGAGGGAGAGAAATCCTGCTCGTCTCTCCTGGCCAAGCAGCTCCCTGCCCTGGCCAGTCTGTGCTACGGAGCCAAGCGATCTGGTTTTAGCAGTGGTTGCAGGGAGGGGGTCCCCTCACCCTGAGCAGTCACATGCCAGGTGCTGCTAAGCTCCAGGTGCTTCTCAGCTCTATTTTGCATCCCTGCCTTGCCGATAGCCTGGCTGGCCTAGCACATGTGCCTCTGGTGGGTGGCCGTGCTGGGCACCCTGGGCCCAAGGAGCGAGCTGCCTCTTGAGGGGTCTTGCTCTAACCTGCAGCCACCCTGCCCCTGAATTCTGCTGTGTGCCCAGTCTCCTTCTGCTCTCTTGATGGCAGCAGAAGCCAGCAAACAGCGCACCAGCCTGCCCCTGGTGCTCCCCTTCACACCTCACGTCATCTCTCGTCCCATTTGAGTGTGGGCAGGTGGGGATGATGCCGCGTCTCACCCTCTGCCATCATGTTAGGTCTCATGGAGATCCTGCCCGACAACTGTGCCCAGGTGGGCAAGAAGGAGCTGATGTACGCTGGCACTGTGGGGCTCATCATCTACCTCGGTGGGGTCATCTTCATCAACAGGAAGAGCACCACCAGCGCCAAGATGGTGATGGCGGAGGTGGCCAAGACTATGGCAACTGAGAACGTGAGTGTGGCTGCAGTGCTTGGTGGGGTGGCCTGTGTCTGGGTGTGCTGGGGTGGCACAGGGGGATGAGGTGCTGGTGCTGGCTCACCTGGAGTTGCAGCCGCTTGCAGCTCGTGGCAAGGCTGGCAGGGCTGGTAGCTCAGCCAGCAGGAAGGCAGCGCTGCAAGTGGGTTTCTGGAGCTGAGCCTTATCTCTCCATGTGCAGGTGAAGGTCTGGGTGTACCCAGAGGGCACAAGGAACTGCACTGGGGATTTGCTGCCATTCAAGAAAGGAGCATTTCACCTTGCTGTCCAGGCACAGGTAACAGCATTTTGCTTCTGCACGGGGACCCTGAGTACTTTTGCCGTGGTGTTGCAAACTGCTTTGTTTACTCTTGAGTGAGCTGTGTTCATGAGTCGCAGCTGAGCACCTCAGCTAAACCACCGTGAGGTGTCACAAGTGCTGCCCAGCCAAAGCCAAGAGTCTTTTCTATCCCCTGCAGCAGTGACTTGACCCCTGTGGATGGGTGACTGCCTTGTCCTCTCTCCTGACTACCCCAGCACTGCGTTCCTGGTGTCCCATCTGGAGGACAGAGTGTGGGGTTCAGGCAAACTTGACCCTCAGCTGTAGGTTTTGCAGGCAGCCCCCTGGCCGTGTGGCGGTGCCGTGTCCGTGCCCGTCGTGGCTGCAGCACAGAGCTCGCTTCTGGCAGGGAGCCCAGTGGGTGCTGTGCTTTTGTGAGCTTGCCCGGGGAATCCCAAAGCCGTTGATGCATTTCTCAATCCCCTGAGTTGCAATCGTGTAGCGTTGATTCAGGATTGTTTAATGCTAGAGCAACATCTGGGCTTACTCAATGTGGAAATAGCTGCTCCCTCCCAGACAGCCATATGGCACTCCTTGGTGTGTCTTAAGTGCCTTCTCTTTCTGAAACAACAACATCTGTGAGCAGTTGGTGGGGGAGCAGGCAAACAGCTTCTCGGCTTTGGGTGTCCAGAGCTGCCAGAACTCCCGAAGGCGCGGTGGTGCTTGCTGGAGCAGAGCTCTGAGGCAGTGTGCCAGGGATGCTGAGGACCTGGCTGTGCTGGAACCTGAGCCACCCTGCTCAGCTCCCAGCTGCTGGGGACTAGGTGGGTGCTGTGCCTTGCTTATCGGGATTGGGATGACTCAAGGCCTGAGGGGAAACTGCTTTCCCTAAAAGAAGTGTTACAACAGGGCTTCTGGAGAAGGGAGCAGGTGCCAGATCTCTTGCTGGGTTCGACTGGCCAAGCCCAGGGTGTAGCCCATGTTGTACCATCCTCATTCCTGCCGATGTGATGCAACCAAGGCAGGGGTTGGCAGCTGCTAGAAGGAAAGGATGAGAGTGGAAATGGTACCCACCTCTGCTGACACTCCCTCTGAGTCACCAACTGTGCATTGTGTCTCTGTTATCAGCACTGAAATAACGACTCTGTGCCTGCCCTCCTGGCTGTTTCTGTGCTTTTGGTTGCTGGGGAGTGATTCTGATCCCGTTTGACTCCTGGTTGTCCCAGCCTTTGGCAGCAGGGCTAGCTGGGATTTGCCCCTTATCTCTGGCCTGCCCTGGGCTGCTATGTGCGAGTAACTCCTTCTTCCTCTTCTTCCCCAAGGTCCCAGTGATCCCTGTGGTGTATTCCTCCTTCACTACCTTCTATAACCCAAAGAAGAATCTATTTACATCAGGTACCAAAGAACCCGAGGGTCTTCATAGCCACTAGGAGATGGGGTTGATGCCTTAGCCACGTGGAGATCTCTTTGCAAGGGTGTGAGAGAGAAGTGGAGCTGTGGTGAACAGGAGAAGTTGCTCTGGGAAATGTGTGGAGTCAATTCAAAGTACTTGACACCAGAACTTGGGCTGGGTTAACTCAGGAAAGAATGTAATTAAATATGATGAGGGATGTTTTCGTTAAAAATTAGACACCATCTCGCCCTCTCATTAACTGGCACAGCCAGTCATTTGGTGAGGGCTTGGGAGAAGAAGCAAGCGTGCTCTGCCTCCCAGCCTCTCAAAACAGGGACCCCTCTGCAAGTGGTATCAAAGCTGGGAGGGCAGGGAGTGGTGCTCCTGTGACGTGTGGGTTCTCACAAGCGCTTCTCTTGTTCCCAGGCAAAATCAAGGTTGAGGTTCTGCCTCCAATAGAGACCAAAGGCCTGACATCAGACGATGTCTCTGACCTCACTGACAGATGCTTCCGTATCATGAGGGAGACCCTCTTCAGGCTGTCGGGCCGTCCCAGTCCAAGTGAGGCGAAGGACTCGTCCTAGATGCTTCTCCAGTGGCGTCACCGTGTGGTGGTGGCTGAAGGGACCTGTCTTGTTGCCAAGTACTGAAGGAACTTCTCTTCCTCTGCAGTGACTTCTAACTCTGGGAACACCATGGACTGGCACACACGGGGTGTCGAGCCAGCGCTGAGGTTCCTCATTGAGTGGATTTCTCATATGGGTTCATTTTCTCACAATGAAACGTCTCCTTTTTCTGAATTTCTCAGGCATCAAACATGTGCTACCAAAGGGCTCAATGACCAGAGAGGTGAGTTCCCCCGTTCAGGCAGTTGGTTTGGAATGAGAACGAAAACCTGGCTGCGGGCTGGACTCTGCCTCATGTGAGCGTCCCTGCACCTGTTTTCCTGCAGGCTCAGCTAGTGCTGGCCTGGTCCTGCGCTGTCCCAGATGGAAACACCCAGGCAGCAGTTTGTATCCACACAACCTTGATGCTGCTGGAACAGGGCTGAGGTGAAAATGCAGACTATGGCTCCTTGGCAGTACTGGGAGCGCTGCCACCCAGGATGCTGGAGCTCACAGGCAGCCTCCGCGGCAGGACCTGTCACCTTGAGACACCCTTGGGTCACGGCAGCATCTTGGGCTGGGGTTTTGTGTTGCCCAGGCAGTCTTGAGCCAAGTTTTTCACTTCTGGAGGAAGCACCTAGGGCAAATGTCATCTGGGAAAACACATGGGGCCAGTCATAGTGCGTCCTCAGGCTTGATTGCCCTGTCTGAACATGTGCCCTTGCTCATCGAGGGGTGCAGCAGTGGAGAGGGAAGCTGCAGTCTGACCAAGCCAGTGTGTATGGTCTGGGCAGAGTTTAGCTGAACAGCATCCAGCCTTGTCAGTTTTTAGTCACCTTCTGAATGAAACCTCACGCTTGTTTCTACCCTTCAGAGTCACCAGCTTGATTTTAAAAACTGCACAAGTCTGTCAGAGCCCTGGGCAAACCTGTCCTCACGTGCAACTTGTCGGAGGCCCCCCTCTCTGTTGTGTGTGGCACGTTATCTGGCTTGGCTCAGAGCTTCCTTGGTGTTGGGAAACTGTGCTGCCAGCTCCCTGCCGTGGTGGTGGCTCCACCTGGTCCCAGCAGGCACCCCAGGAGTCATTGGGGACACAAAGGGCTCTCCTCCTCCTTTTGCCAGTTGTCATGGTCAGCACTGGCCAAAAGATGGTGCTTATCCCGCGTGTCTTTGCTGATCTTGGCGGAGTTGCTGCTCTGCAAGGCTTGTAAGCAACTGTCACAGGGCTCAGAAGGCTTTTCCCTTTAGGGAAAAGGGCTCCTTCCCCCATTCAGATACAGGGATTTCCCCTGTGCTTTGAGGTGATGGACCAGCAGGGCTCCTGCATCCCCTGCTGGGAGCTGCAGAAGTGTTGATGCTCTCTGTGAAGAGCAAGAGTGGGTCAGACCCGTGGTTCCAGGGGGCAAACTTCACCTCTAACTTGGGTTCAGGGAGGCTTAAGCTCTCCAGTATTGTGGGGTTACTTTGTGATAAATTACCTGGGACTACTTGGGTCAGCAGTGCAACCAGCTTTTTTAGCCTGTCTGGGGCTGTGTTGGTGGAATTGCAGTCACGGGGCATTTTGGGGTTAAAGCCTCAACTGGGAAAGGCAGGGAATTGCGGCAGAGCCACAGCTGGGTAGGTCTCAAAGGAGGGAGCCCTCCGGCTGAGCTGGTGCTGGCAAGGGCCAGGGGGCTTTATCAGAGGGGCCTTAAAGCACAGACTCAGGGGTCAGACCCGCTGTGGGATGGGTCGGGGTGGGAGGATGGGAACTGAATCAGCACTTTGTAAGAGCGGCAGGTAAAGGGCTGTCACGGAGGTTAAACCCGAGAGGGTCTTGGGAGGAATAAATGCATCCACGGAGTGACTTCTGCAGCATCCTCCCCTGGGAGGAGGGAGCGGTTGCCTCTGTGTGCAGTTGTCTGCTGTTCACTTGTAATTGGGTTGAGAATAACGTTATATGCTTTAAATAAAAAGAAAAATACACCTTTGGTTATTTAAATAAAGGAGGCTCCTGGTCTTGTGTGGGAGCTGGGGGGCGCTGACTCCTCAGCTCTTGCGGGAGCGAGGTGGGGGGGGTTTGGTGATTGAGGGGCGATGGCAGGTCCCTGTCCCCACACTGAGCCACAAACTGAGGACAAATGCCTGCAGGGACTTCTGGCAGGGGAAGAGGAAGGTGGTTCCCGTCTGCATGGGAGCCCTGGAGCCAGCACCTTCCCAGCCAGAAACAACCCCACAGCCTCGGTGTGCGTAGCAGGAGGCTTTATTTCGGTACAACGCCGCAGCACCCTGTCACCCACGCGGTTCCTCCTGCAGCTCCGCTCCAGGTAAGCAGGAAAGTGTTGTACCA